AGAGCCCTGCAGCAGGCAGCAATGGTCCGGCACAAGCTCTGCCAGCACTGACCCGGTGAGCAGCACCCGTAAATGCACCGTCTTTTGCTCTACAGGCAGCTTCTCACCCTCAGAGCCCTGCAGCAGGCAGCAATGGTCCGGCACAAGCTCTGCCAGCACTGACCCGGTGAGCAGCACCCGTAAATGCACCGTCTTTTGCTCTACAGGCAGCTTCTCACCCTCCTGTGTACCCACTAGATGAGGTCAGGGGGCTGTAGGGTTCAGAGAGGGGTCCCCTTCTGTAGGGTTCAGAGACATCAGGGGCCCCCTGGGGACACCGGGGTGCCAGGTGCTGAAGTCCGGCACCGGCTCTGCTTTAGCCAAAGTGCCAAAAAGCAGAAGTTGCCCATCAGCTGCTCGTTGCCTGTGCCCTCGCTGAGATCCACTCCCCTCCCAGGCATTCAGGGCTCCGGGGGCAACACCAGCAGCAAGAAGCACCTGTGGAGAATGTTTTCTCCCCAGGAGTGTTGGGTCAGTGGGTGGGTGGGTGATACCCGTGCCCAGAGTGGTCCCTGACACAGCTGTGGGAGATGCCACAGCATCCACAGTAACAGACTAACCTCCCACCCCTGCCTGGACACATAAGGAGGGAGCTCAGGGCATTTACTGCACTGCCTAAGGGCACTGAGCCAGCTGCCTCCCCAAAACCAGCACAAGAGCAAAGTCAAGGTGAGCTTCCCCACAGACCCCAACCACAGCACTGGGAGAGGGTCTCCAAAGTGTCCAGGTCCTGCTGCCTGCAGCCTGTGGCATCACTGTGGAGGGATCTGCCCATCAGCCTCCAAAAAGTAACCACAAGCCCCCCGCCCTGGCAGAGGCAGCACGGCACACACTGAGACCCAGCAGAGGGACAGTTCCGCGGTGACCTTACTTCTCACAGTTGCTGTGGGCCGAATGCTCCTGAAATGCTTGTTTTTCCTCCGCAGGGCCATCTTGTACTGCAGGGAGAGAGGAATGGTGGTGGCTTCGGCGTGGGCAAGCTGGCTGTGCCAAGTGTCATCCCATGGCAGCCAGAGCCAGCCAGGCTTCACCTGGTGATGGGTGCAATCCCACCATCATCCCCAGACCCTCAGCGCTGTACCCCTTCATCTTGTCCCAGCTCCCAAACCATCCACAATGCTGGATTGGATACTTCCCCATCCAGGACCCTGCACTACACTGGATCCCAGGTCCCAGAGCAACAACACTGGGATGGGGTGCAAGTGACCAGGTCCAGCTGGGCCACTACAAGGACACAGTCCCGGCGCCAGCAGCATGGCCTGGCAGGCTAATGGTCCCATTTCCCAGCACTAATTGCCTTAGCTCTGCCCCGGGGGGGTGCCGGGGGGTACGTGCACCTGGAGAGGCTGCAGCATTAAGTCCAGCATCATCCGGTAAGGCGGATAAAAGGCAGTTATAGCGCGGCATCACGCAGCGGCAGTGGGTTCGCACCTACCTCCTCCGCAGCCACGTCCGGAGGATTCCTGCCCCTTGCCAGCGCAGTAGCATCGTCCTCAGCCGACTCTGGCGGCAGCACCAGGAGGTCGAGTCCCTGCTTGGAGAGGCTCTCTGCCTAAAACCATTAGGAAGCGCTTAAATTATCCCAAGGGCTGAAGCACACCCGGCTGCCCTGTGTGCTCCATGCTGCTCCGCTCCCTACCCACGGCTGGGATTTGTGAGCGGATTTAGGCCTGATTAGCCGGCTGCCAGCCCCGGCACAGCTGCCCCGCGCCTGCCCCAGTGCACGAGCGGACGGTGCCCGCATTCACCCCAGCACCCCCTGCCACACGCAGTGGCTCCAGGACTTTGCTCAGGATGTTAATGTTGCTGGGACTGCACCAGGAGAGGATTACCTGGGAGGGAAACCAGCCTGGGTGGGAATTGTCCTGCTTCCCAGACTGCAAATCTGTGGTCATAATGTTGGCCGGTGTCTGGGCAATCCTGGGGTACCCAGAACCCCATCCCGCATCCCAGCCCCATATCCCCATCCCATAGGTGTGGCAGACCTTGGCACTCACCAGTTTGCACTGGGCAGTAGTCAGGTCTCCCAGCACAGCATCCACAATGCAGTCGGCCACAGCAGCTGTGACAGACAGCTTGATTTCACTGGGAGTGGAAAGAGACTTCTCAGTGCCAGCACCCACTGCCCCTGCAAGCCACAGGGCAAGTCCCCCAAGGAAAGCCTTGCTGAGGAGATGGATGCTTGGCTGTGGCACACCACCACCACAATGTGAGGAGAGGACAAGTTGGTAGGGAGCCCCCCAAATCCTCCTCTGGCCCCACAGGTGAGTGCCAGCCACCAAATGAGAGAGAAGAATGGCACATCACCCACTTCAGCTTGCTGAAGACATCGGTGACCATCTGGTCCAGGACAGTGCTGAGGCTGAGGTGCTCCTGGAGGCAGATCCGCTCTGACATGGCATTGACCAGTTGGTCCCTGACCCCACTCTTCTGCACCACAGCTGGGCACAGGCTGTGTGCCGTGTCCAGCACTGCCTGCATGATCGCCTGAAGTTTGGGGACAAGAGGGGAGGTTTCGGTCTCTTCTATAAGGATTCATGTAGTTTCCAGGAGACACCATCTGCCTTATCCTTGGGCCAGGCTGATGAGCATCCTGTGCTGCTGGCAGTGCCCCATGGATACCCACCTGGATTTCCCGGCTACAAGTCTGTAATGCTTCCTCCATGAGACACTCCAGCTTGTGCTGCAGTTTGCCATTCTGGTACGGGCTGTTTCCTGCTTCGTACAGGAGGGGCAGGATCTGCCATGGGAAGAGAGATGATGCAGATCATCCCATGGCACCTCAATTTCGCTTCCCATCCTTCCATGTGTAGCTTACATCTATGGCTTCCCCATGGAATAGCATCGCCTGCATTAGCTTGGAAGACCCCGCAACCTTCTGGCTTTGCTGGGACAGGGTTGGGCATCCTGGCCCCTCACAGTCCCTGTGTCCTCCAGATGGACACTCAACTGCTCCCCCCCACCCACTGACCATCCTCCCCCTCCTGCAGCCCACTATGCTGCTGCCTGCATCAGGGGAGATCCCTACCCATCCCTTTCACCACATTTCCACCACCAGTACTGTCCTCTTAAATCCTCTCTCTGACAGATTAAGTACCCAGAGGGGTGCTGAGAGAGAAAAAAAGGAGGTGGCTTGAAGAGAAGTAGAGAAGGAGGAAAAGGTGCAATGGGGAGAGAGGAGTGGGACCAGGAGGATCAAACCAGGGCGACAGCCACGAGCTGCCCAGACAATGCAGTGGCTTTTGCCATGAGCTGATGGAACATCCTCATCACTGGGGTGGGATGAGGGTGCCCCAGGGAGTGACCCCTCAGGGATGCAGAGAGATTTCTCACCAGTATGGGCATCTGTGGGTTGCAGGGTGTGCCCAAAGCTGGAACACACACTGCTCCCAAAGAGGGGTGTGTAAGCATGGAATGCCAAAAGAGGGGAGCACTTGTAATCCCCACTCCCTGTTGGGGGGTGCACACAGCTCTGTGCTGCTGAGGCGAGGGCACTAAGAACATTTTGGCCCTTATTCTAGAAGGGTGTTCAGAAATTCTCAGCTGTTCTTTAACATTTTGCAAGTGCTCAGTAATGTGCATCTGTTGCATTGACATTCTGGTGTTCTCCAACTGCTGGTTAATGATGTCATTAACTAATCAATACCCTGCTTCGATCCTGAAGCGAAGCTGGGTGAGCTGAGGGGGTTTCCCACATGGTGGACTCACACTGACAGAGAGGTTGGCGTTCCTGATGGCCTCCTCCGCACAGAGGATGTCTGCCTCCACCTCCCTGCCCGTGCAGGTGCTGAGGATGTCAACGTGCTTCTGCACGCTCAAGCAGATCTCATTCACCATCTGGAGCACAGAGAGGCTGCGTCATGTGCCGACGCCAGAGCAGCACTGCCAGTTCCCCCTCTTGCCACGACTTTCCCATAGAAGCATGTGCTTGGTGGGGACACAGGCAGGTTACAGCCCCCAAGTGCATCCCTGACTAATAACCAGGGATGCCACATGGCAGGGATTTGCTTACAAGAGCACACAGGGAGCCAGGAACATGCTGTGTGGGGTAGCTTAGCAGCAAGTTATCTCAGCATTGCATATGCATGAAATGCATGGATGCAACCAGGAGGGTTCCTTGGAGATATGCTTTCTGCCCAGCCCCACTCTGATCATAGAACCATGGAATACTTTGGGTTGGAAGGGACCTTAAAGGCCACTCAGTTCCAACACCCATGCCATGTGCAGGGACACATCCAACAGACCAGGTTGCTCAAAGCCCCATCCAACCTGGTCTTGACCACTTCCAGGGATGGAGCATCTCCCACTTCTCTGGGCAACATGTTCCAGCCCTCCAATCTGCTCTGCCCTCTGCTCAGGAAAGGTGAAAAGGGAGTTCTGCTGCTTGGAAGAGGTCACACTAGCAAGCCAGGGTGTTTGGGGCCAGGGGAGAGCAGCCCCATGCAGCAATTTGGCCATCAAACCTGTTCAGAAGAGGTGGTGAGGATGCCCTGCTGCAGCCGGAATGTCTGCGCCGGTAGCGTCTGCCGCAGCTGGTTCCTCGTCAGGCAGGACTGGAGCTGCAGAGGCAAGAGGCCATGAGCAGTGTTGGTGGCACCTGGTCCCACATCCCCTAGACCATGTCCTCCCACCTTGTGCACGGCCTCCTCTGTTCTCTCGGGGTTGCTGCGATATGCCTGCGCCACGTCGCTCATCGGCAACGGCATCGACTTGAGGGTGTAATTCCTGCAAGGCAGCGTGGAGTGAGCAGGTGCTGCTGGACCCAAGGCTCATCTTCCACAGGCAAGGAGGGAGAGGAGCATCACATCACCACCACTAGCAGATCCCCCTGTTCTCCCCTGGGGCTTCTTGGGGGACATGTGGCTGTGCTCGTTGGGATGCAGAGCCCAGGGGAGACCCTGAGGTCAGTAATGAAGGTGCCATCACCAAACAGGTGCCAGGTTGCTTTGTTGGCTGCAAGGCCAGAGATGTAGACCAACTCCCTTGGGACATATATGCAACTGTGTGATGCCCTTGCTGTTTCAAGGGGATGAGAGGGCCTGGAGATGGTGACATGCTGGTGACAGAGGCTTTTTTGCATGATAGCAAGCCAGGAGGACCAAGAGGTTCCTTCCTTACCTCTCCAAAGCTTGAGCCACTTCCAGGAGCCCATGGGCAGTTGTATTGTTCCTGTCCCAAATCACAGTCCTGCAAAGAGAAGGACATGGGTGAGACCTGTGTGCACCCATGGCACAGCCCTGAGGTGGGCAGCACAAGTGAGCCCAAGGCTGACTCTAGGCATCAAAAAGGCTAAAAAATGGGGTTAAAAATCTGAATTTCAATATTTAAAACCTCAGCTTGGACTTTGCAAGGAGCTGTAAATTAGGTGGGTGAAGGGCTGGGAGGACATAGGCACCATCCTGTTGAAAGGGGCAGACATTCTCCAGAGGAATAGCCCTGGTGGAACACCCTTCCCTGTGCCCTGCAGACATTCCTGCCTTGCCTTTGTGGGCACAATGTAGTAAAAAAATGGCATTTTAGGAACATAGCAGAGCATGAGGTGAGGGCAGTGACTGCAAAGGTCTGTCTGCAGCACACTGGGCTGTGCAGGAGTCTGGCAAAGCACTGGGGCAGGGATTGAGCTGATCTCTTGCCCTTCACATGTCCCCTGCCAGCATTGCCAGATGACTGTCATGAGCACAAGACACGGTCACAGCATCTGACTGTGTGCCAGGAATGGTCCAAGGCCACATCCATGGTCACCAGAAGCCACGACAAGCTTCCTCTGATGGTATCAGCATCACAACGAGGACCACATGGCACAAGGTGGGAAGGGTACCCACAGGGTGACATAGACTTGTTGCTACCTGAGCTTGGTGTTGATCTGCAGGGCCTTGGCTAGCATCTTGGCCCCCGTGTCCCCCATAGCATTGCCACTGATGTCCAGAGCGATAAGGCTGGTGTTACTGCCCAGGGCACTCAGCAGGACGTTGGTTCCCAGTTTGAGACGTGATTCAGCCACGGATAGTGACTGGAGAGGCTAGAAAGAGGACAAGGAAGGGGAGAGGTGACCAGGACACGTCATAGCCTCCATCCCTATTCAGCAGCCTCTGGGCTGGTGTTGGTTTTGGAAAGATCAAGTGATCCTCAGCCCCAAGAACAGGAGGGCAATGGGTGCTTAGGCAGCAGCCTGGATTTAGCTCAGATGCCTGGCAGGCAGTGAGGAGGAAAGGGATTTTTTTTTAAAACTGGTCTGCATCCAGGTTACACCCAGCATCTCCTCCATGCCTTTAGCCAGTCACAGGCTCCTGCTTTCCCAGATGAATGGGAATAGCTCCCACTTCTCTCTCTGAGCATCTGCTTCAGATAGAGGAAAACAAGACTGGAAGGATTTGAATGGCAGTGGGAGGGAGGGAGGTTTGATTCCAGGCTGTGCTGGGAGGGATCTGGATGGCACCCTGGCATGGAGGCTGCACAGTGGTGGCAGAGGGTGATCAGGAGCATGGGTCGGATGGCTGAGGTGGCTGAGGGCAAGCTGGACTTACGCAGTCCTCCTCCTGGGTGAGCTGGACAATGCGGTGCAGGACATCCAACAGCCCTTCCCTGCAGGAGAAGCAGGGGGTTTACATGTGCATCCTCCAGGGCCACAGAGGCAGCTGGCAGAGGTCTGTCCTCCCTCCCACTCTTGCCTGAGGCTATGAACCATCCCTGGGACCACACCAGGTGCTGGTCCCCCATGGGCCCTGGCTCCACGTTGGGTTGGAGCATCCAGGATGGGCAGGCAATTCCCACCAGCAGATGGGCTTTTGATGGGGAGAGAGAGAGTTGAGGTGGGTGCACGGTGCCAGGATGGATCTTGGCCCGGGTGCTGCCGCTTTCACTTACTTGGATTTAATGTTGAAGTTCTTCCCCAGAGAGACATGTCTAATGGACTTGCTTCTGCCAATGGAGAGCACCAGTGTCACCATGTCAGGGTCAAAGCCTGCGAGAGGTGGGAGACACCCATCAGTCTGCAGCAGTGGCACCAAGGTGGTCCCTCACAGGACATCTGCAGAGCCACCAGGCTGTCACTCTGGGATGGTGGAGAGATGCCATGGGGAGCTTCTGAGCATCTTCCTCCCTTCCTGGCTCCCTCAAAGAGACTGAAGACCCATGCAGAGCTGGGGTCCCTGAGGAGTGACCCCACTGAAGGAGCACCTCCTCTGGGCACTCCTTCTATGTGGCGTGCAAGGCCATGCTGAGCCATGGGGGTACTTATGGAACTGAACACTGTGCTTGATTTCTGCCATCTCACAAGGATGTGCCCTCCATCACCCACCCACCACTCCAGACAACATGAGGGGAGTTCTTACAGCTTGCAGGCAGCTGCCTACACGCCCATCCTCATGGCAGCACCAGCCCCAGGGAAATTTGGTGAGCAAAGGTGTCATCCTTCCCACAGAATAGGGCAGGGATCTGCTCACCCAGCTGCTCTACCAGCCAAGGGTAAAAGGCACCGAGACACACCTCTGGACTGCCACTCCTGCATGGAGATGCTCTACTGCGAAAGCCAAAATAGAATCATATTTTGGCAAAGGTTGACAGGAGATTTTGGGCGAGAGGATGAGCTTTTGGAACATTGGTGTCCTGAACAGGTTTTTGAAGGACTCCAAACCACGTCAGCTTTCCCAGAGCCATCTGGCAGCTGAGGAGCTTCATGGTCTGCTGTGAGATCTTAGAAAGGCTTCTTGAAGGTTTGGGGCCTTTTAGGTGAAATTAAGAACTGGCAGAGGTGATGTTTGTGATAATTAGGATTGCTCGCCCGAGGCTTTGGAGGTCACAGCAGGACAAGTTTAGCAGCAGAGACTGCAAACTCCTGCAGAGAGGTGGAAAGAGTTTCAGGCCAGGGAAACTTTTTCAGTGCTTCAAAACTTGAGCCAGCAACACAAGATTAACTCAAATTCAGTGAGCTGATGTGGACTGTACCAAGAAAGATGTGAAATGAGAACTTTTGGCAAGTTCTGAGGCAGCAGGGGGTAAAGAAATCACCCCATTCCCTGTGCTGGAGATTCAGAGGGAATATCATTCAGAGAAAGCTTCCTGCTACCCACATGGGATGCAGCACTGGAAGGTGATGGAAGAGACCTGGCATGCAGGAAAGGACATCAGTAGAGGGAGAAGAGCACATGAAGAACTGCCTGCCATGGGGAAGGCAGAGGAAGGGGTGGTTTGGGGGGTAAAAAGCCATAAAAGGCTGATGAGGTGATAATTTGTCTGCCAAACAGCCCATGGTGGCTGGACCTCCTGGTCCAGGAGATGGAGGAGATCTTCCAGGCTGGGAAAAAGCAACCTACCATTGTCAGACAAGTTCAGGTCACTGATGGAGCTGGCATCAGGAATGAGATCCTGGATGACTTGGGCCCCTGCTGATCTCAGCTTGGAAGAAACAGCAAGATATCAGTACAAGGGGAGGCTTCAAGCCCTGCAAATGAGATCCTGATATTGGGAAGGTCAAACAGGGCATGGACCTTCTCACACTGTTGCAATGGAACACCCTAGCTGAACTCTTGGCACTCATGGGTGCTGGCCCCTCACCTCGCAGCTGCTAAGATCCAGGTGCAGGTCACTGATGTGACTGTTGTCTGCCAGCCCTTGCAGCAACGCCCTAGAAAAGTCACCAAAGTCCCCATATTGGTGCAAGAAACAGGGGCACCAGCACCTGCCATGAGTGGTCTCCCCAACAATCCAGGCAGTGGGAGTGACATGATGGAGAAGACATCCTTCCCTGAGCTCTACCTCCTACAGCCTCACCCATCCTCCCCACCAGACCTGAGGGATGTCCTCCCCAGACTGTGCTCACTCTAAATCCATTCCCCTCGGTGGACTCTGCCCAGCCTCACCTTACAACATCTGCTGGCAGCTTGGTACCTGCCAAGGAGACGTGCCTAAGGGCACAAGCCTGGCTGAAAAACTCCTTGATGTCAGGGGAGATGGTTTTCACCCTCCTGAAAAGGATGGGCACAATGTAGCATCATCTGCCATCCAGTATCACCCACCCACCTGGGTACCATGCTTCCCTCCCCACTGTCCTAGGAACTTACTTGTGGGAGTACACATTCTTGGAGAGATCCAGGTGGATGAGGCTGGTGTGGCATCCATGAACCAGGGCTCCAAAGAGCTGCCAAGGTGGGGATGTAAACCATGTGGAAGAGGACCCAGCAGTGCTGCAACCCCACGCAGAGCCCAGGGATGGAGGGGGACTGAGGACAAGGTCTCACTGCCAGGACCCCCTACATAGGTACTCACAGCATCCAAAGGGCAGTCTGTGCCAGCCAGGCTGAGGTGGGACAGAGAGTGGCACTGGCAGAGGAGGCTCTGCAGGTTCTGTGGGCAGAAAGGGCTCAGCAGCTTTGCCAAGGACCATGAAACCCCCACCTAGCATCCTGCAGGCCTGAAATCCCAGCTCCAGCCTGTCTCCTCCCTGCTATTGAGCACAGGGATGAATCCTGCACAGAGGGACCCACACATTCATGGGATACATCCTTGCTCCAGGTGGCATCTTCTACCCTCCCACAAGGAGATGCAGAGAATGTCTCCAGGGCATCCCCAGCTGCTCCTGAGCAGGCAGGAGGGTGTCACAGCCATGAGATCCCCATCCCTGGCATGCTGCAAGGCAGGGCTCTGGCTCCAGGGGACTGAAGCCAGCCAAGCCACGCTGCGGACAGAGCCTACGTGGTGTCACCCCATCACAGAATGGGTACTCACACAGATATCATCCCCAGCTAGGGTGCCAGGGTTTCCAGAGAGGTCCAAGTGCCGGAGGGAGAATCCAATGGCTTTGTTATCTGCGAGGGCCTTGCATAACGTGCTCATCCCTGCTCAGAGAGACAGGGAGGGAGGGATGGCCAAAGGTCCCCTGCACTGGGGAGAGCTGTAGAGCAGAGGAAGGGACACTTCCCTCCAGCTGGGGCAGCAGAACATTGCATCCATGAAGATGCCCTTTCCAGGGTGTCCCTGCAGCCCCTCTAGCCACCCCTTTGGTGCCAGCTTGGCCCCAAGCACTGCCATGCCCAGGCTCCACAGGGCACTTGGGCTCTACCTTTGGCCGTGAGCATCGTCCTGGCCAAGCTGAGGCTCTGCAGACCCTTGGGACTCTTCTCCACATGTCGGCTGAAGGCAGTGATCCCTGATGAAAGAGCAGAGAGCCCTGAGTGTCCGTGTCAGTGCAAGTGGGTGTCCATCCCACTTCAAGCTAAATCCCCCAGCACAGGGGGCAGCTGCCGGTGGGATCTGGAGCTGAACAGTTTTCATGGGTGTAAACTCATCCCAGCCCAGAATGTGGGTACCTCTGTCTTCCAGCTGGTTGCCAGCAAGGTTGATGGTGTGCAGGACAGAGTCAGGATGGCTGCTGAGTGCCTGGGCCATCCTCTGCACAAAGTCACTGTGGGGAGAAGGGTCACTCATCTGAGCAAGCCTTGGACACCTCCAGGAGACACAGCCACCAACCCTATAGCCTTGCAGGGACATGCCACTAGCTCCTGTCTGTGTGGCAGAGCTGGCTTCATCTGAGGAGCCAGCAGGAGAAAGCAGAGCATCTCCAAGGGTGGGTGATGTCCACTGGCCTCTGGGCTACAGGAAGTCTCTGCTCCAGTGAGCTTCATGCCATGGAGGGGCTGGAGCCACCAGCATCCCCCTGGCACATGGGTGCATGGATCCCCCTGCTTCATGCACTGAGGGAAGCACCACCAGGCTGCCAAGGCCCTGCTCATCAGTGTCTTGCAACACCTTCACTTACGCTTTCAACCCACTGTTTTCCAGCACCAGCTCCTCCAGCGTCACCGATTTGCTGAGCATGTAGAGCAGCTGCTCCGAAATCTCCTGGTTCTGGCAGGGGAGAAGAAAGTCTTCTGGAAACCCAGCCACCTCCAGCACACTCAGCACCACAACACCAGCCAGCACTCACCAGCCTGAAGTCCTTGCAGGAGAGCTTGGTGAACCACAGGTTGAATGACAAGGCAGCAACACTCAGTGCCACATCTCTTCAGGGTGACAGAGACAAGAGAGTCAAAGATCAGGATGAGATAAGTCTGGTCCCAAATGGATGTCCCAAGACACCCAATGCTGGGGGTGCCCAAGACATCCAGCCCCAGGGTGCCCTAGGGTGCCCCAGGTTACTCAACCCCATGGTGCCCAAGACACCTGGTGTCCCCCAAGACACTCAACCCTGGGTTGCCACAGCAGACCCAACCTTACAGTGCCCCAACACAACCAAACACAAGGTCCTCCAACAGATCCAACCCTGGGAAGCCCCAATACACCCAACCTCAAGCTGCCCCAACACCGTGTTCAACAGAGCAAGGCTAGGGTCCATGAGTTTAAAGCAACCCTCAAACACAGCTCAGCTTCCCCAGATTATTCCCTTGGGGAAAACAAAATTAAGCAAAATATTTGCAAGCTTCTATCAAAAATCTCTGGGGGTTTAATTCTTTTTAATTCTGACCTCTTGTGTAGAGAACAACACGGGTTTTGCTCAAGTGGAAACAAGTTTCTTTTTTACCTCGCTGTCCAAAGAAATATCTAAAAATGTCTCCTTTTTGGCCAACTGAACACAGATTCTCTGTTCCCCAAAACACTCAGCCCACAACTTTGACTTGCTGCAGCCCAGCCCTGCAGCTGCCTCCCCCCAGAGCTGAGCCCTTGCTCCAGCTCTCTTGGAAAGGAGACATGGCTGAGCCCCCTAGGGGGACAGCCTGAGCTCACAGCCTCACTGTCAGGTTACAATAAGGTTATAACAGATATCTGAGGGTTTGGTAGGGAGCAGTGTTAAGTTTCAGGGAGGCAAGAGGCGCTGACTGGTTTGCATAGGGAAACACCTGACAGCCACGAGCTGTGAGAAGCTGCCGTGACATCAAGTTTTCACCCTCATGAGCAGCTCATGGGCTGATTTAAGAGTTAAAAATGAACAGAGAGGCTGCCTGGACTCTCAGCTATTGCCCCATGGGACGAGGCTCATCATGTTTGGTGCAGGGCAGTGTCAGACTGCAGATGTGGCGTCCTTGGAGCGTGTAAGCTATAAAAGTGTCTAGCATGGGCAGAGGAGCATGTTGGGCCACTCCTGACACGGTCAGGGAGGATGTGGATGAGTGCTGGTGTGGCATGGGGCACTGTGGGTGCCATGGATGGGGGACTCACCGGCTCTCCAGGTGGCTGAAGTCCAGTAGGTTGAACTCCCGGCAGTCCTGGCTGTGGTAAATGTTGTCCACGTCCTTCCCAGAAGGATGGACACACGGATCAGGCACAGCACCTGATCCTGAGGAAGGCTCAGGTGCTTCGTTCTGCTGGAGGAAGCTGAGCCCTTGGGGACCCTCTTCTGGGGAGTTCCTTGCCCAAACCTCAAGTCTAAAACCTTCCCTGTTGCTCTGGCTGGGAGGTGACATGTCCCATCTTGGTGGGACAGATTGGTGGGTCTTGGACCACTTGTGCAGGGACTGGCCAGAAGGCAACACACCCTAGGCTGGTGGGAGCGAGGGTATGGGGAGAGATGGACTGGGATCAGTGTCTCAGAGGAAGAGGGGGACAGTGGGTCCTGTTGTGACTCAGTCCCAGTGGGGCTCTCCTCTACTAGGGACACTCAGCAATCAGTCCCAGATATTCAGGGGTTCTCCTTAGGCCACAGTCTGGGACACAACCTAGTCCAAGGCATCTCACCCCTACGTGCACTCTGATTCCAGCCCACTAAGGAGCAGGGGGCACTCAAGACAGGCAAAGCTGCAGTTCCCTTCTCTGAGATGCCCTTGGGATGTCTCTGGTCCCTGGGATGTACCAGGGCCCACACCCAAGCCAGGAAAAGCTGCAGTTCCCAGCTCTGGGTTGTCCCAGCCCCAGCAGTCCCATGAGGCTGCTGTCTGAGGTGGAGGCTCCCATGAGCATCCTCCATCCCTGCCCACTAAGTGACATGCTCCCACTGCCTACTCGCCACAGGACAGACCAGCTTACCCACTGGATCTCCTCGCGGAAGGCAAAGCCATTGTAATCACACAAAGCAGAGTAGGTCTCTGAAAACCCCCCTGCAAAGAGAAGGCAGTCATGGGGGCAGACCTTCCCATGGGAACATAGAGAAGATATCTGGGGATGGTAGGAAACAGGAGAGGGATGGCAGGGGCTCAGAAGGAATGGTATGGGCTCTCCCCTTCCTCCACAATGGGGCCAGAGGTCTACTGTCAGCCCAAAAGCAATTGCCCAACTCAGGGGGCTGTGTTTTGTTTTGCTTAATCCTTGTGCATACCAGGCAAGGCACATTGCTATGGTGATAATGGAGGTATCCTGCTGCAAACCAGGCTACAGGAAAAGCTCCCAGTTCTGCAATAATGCTGCATGAAGTGGGCGGAAGCATCCACAGCTGCAGCTCCTCACAGGTGGATACTGAGCAATCTTACCCCACAGAACCTCCTGGTCCTGCCTGGGAGAGGTTACAGCTGGACTTACCACAGGGCCCTGGGTTGTTCTGCAGCATTTCCTCCAGTGAGTCTGTGATCTGCTGGATTCTCTCATACAGCTTCGGTGGGGAGTTCTTGAGCAGTGTCCTAGGGAAGGACCAGAGGGGTGTGTGCTGGTGGGCTGGGAGAAGAGCATCCCCACCACTATGTGCTTATCTACAACTCATGCATGTAGAGTGGCTGACATGGATCAAGGTCTGGCATCCACATGGTTTTCTCATGCTAAAAGATGCTACTGTGCACCCATCTTATAATTGGGATCTTCTAGTGGGAGGTATCCCTGTCCATGGCAGGGGTGTTGGAACTAGGTGATCTTTATGGTCCCTTCCAACCCAAACCATTCCAGGATTCTATGATCTGGGGCTTTTCTGAGCATAAAGGTTGCTCTGGTACCACCCCTGAAGAGCAGAAGACCCTCACCCAAGGGAAGAGTCTGGAAAGACCTTCTTAAGTGACATAGTGACATGGATGACAACTTGCTCCAAATCATCCAAGGACATGAACCGGAAGGCGTAAGACGCGGCATCTGTTTCTATGACAACCTGCAGGGTCCAAAGGATGAGAGATGCCTGAGTGAGCTGGCAGCACACAGCATCCCCAAGCCCCCAGACACAACGGTGACAGCAATCAGCTCCTCCCTGCAAACCCAGCCAGAGCACTGCAAGCACAGGGAAGGCTGTGAGCACTAGAAATTTAGGATAAAATACATTAAAGACACTGTAACATGCAAAAATAAGGCATAAACCTGCCCAAAACTCAAGCTAAGCTGATGCGGAGGCAGCCCAAGGCAGTGTGGTGAGAACAGCCCTGCCTCTGCCTGCAGCAGCCGCAGCTGGAGAACGGAGGTTTCCTCCCTGAATTTATCTAATCAGGTTTTGGGGCTTTTTTAGCTTTTGGTTCCTACCAGGAAAAAAAAAATCCCATGGCAACACGCTCCCTGATTTAATTACACGCTGATTGAGGCGTGGGAGCAAGATGACAATTATCCACTGGCATCGCGCAAGGACGGTGCTTCCGCCGGTGCCCAGGGCTGCGGAGGCAGGAGAGCGTGGGTCTGCCCACACTCTGCCTGCACATTAACAACCCCTGGGCTTTCCATAGCCCAGTCAGATGTCTCACGCCCCTCCACTCTGGGGTTTCAAGCCCCAGCACCCCTCGGTCTCTGCCCAGCTCCTTTACTTCCCTCTGGGAGCTCAGCCACTCAGCCTGCTGAGCAGCAGAAACTGTGTTTAGAAGCTGGAGCCATGGTGGCTGATGATGCTTAAACAAGCAAAAGTCAGACAGGAGGTTACCAAGAAACACATGAGAAGTTAACGAGGACCACAGTCCTATTTCAGTCAATATATCCAAGCCAAGGCATCCTGTTCCTTGTCTCCCCAGTTCCCACCGCTGCTTCTGCCCTGTGTGCCCGCCTCTCTCTAAGAGGATTAATGGGGTTTAAAACACCCTCCTGCTAAATTTGTCTTCACCTCGGTAAGCCAGCAGCCATTTGTCACCTTGTCCCTGCCGAGTGGGAGGCGCCAAGGCCAGGTGCTGTCTGCGGCTGCCAGAGGGGAAGAGGTGCAAGTACCCACACAGTACCCCTGGGTGCCTCCCTGCACCTCCAGCTCCAAGGGTGATACCCCTGAGGAGGACTTAAGAGGATTTCTTTAGAGGTGGAAAAGGGACAAATACGCTGTGGAGCTCTCATAGATCATTATTGGTGATCCTCAGTGCGCAATGGGGAGGCCAGAACACCCCCGGATCCTGTGGTGGGCTCTGGGCCAGGGATTGCCATGGGAGCAGTGGGCATAAAGCGGGGATGTGCCCAGGTTGGGTTTGTCCCAGGTGTTAATGCCACTCACCACGCTTGGCTCTTGGACTGTCATCTCCCTCACCTCCAGGAAGCTGAAGCTGCTGTGAACCTGTGGGTTAGAGGAGCAGGATCAGTCCCAGCACTGATGGAGAAGGGGCACTCAAAGGTGTCTCCCAGCTCTCACCCTTCCCCATGCCCCAGGTAGTGCCTGGTCATGCCCCTCAGCCTTCACCAGCCCCTGAACCAGACCCCCTGGCTTTCATCCCATCGTTCTCCTCATCCTGCTCCTAAGGGCTTCCCAGACCCAGTGACCCAGATGGCTCATGGATCACACACCCTGCTGCCACAAGAACCCCCAGGAACCACAGGGCTGAGCGCAGCACAGGGTCCTCACACTTACCCTCACTGGCAGCATCACGGGCAGCACATAGGCTCGCCAGGGTGTCAGCACCTAGGCAGGGGACAGTGGTGTGACAAGGGACAGCAGTGACATGGGGGCCACCCCGGTCCCTCGTGCAGCCATGAAACAGCTGCCTGGGGGAACCAGGAGAGCAGGAACCAGGACTCCACACATACCAAGATGAAGTCGTCATACTTGGATTTCACCTGCAGCTGGATGCTCAACACCAGGAGCACCTTCTTTGTCCCCAGGAAGGTGGTGATGCCCTCTGAAAAGACCAACATCTGCATGAAATGAGGTGGCTGAAGCCACCTTGGTCCTCTTTCACACACCTTGCTGCCCTTGGGGACACTGTCCACTGCGTCCTCACCTGAATCACCTCCTCTCCATCCACACCTGACAGTCACACCCTGGAGCCACACACTTCTTCACCCACTGTGGGTCTCATTTGCTGCTTGAGTGATGCACCCACATCCCCATCACCTGCCACAGCCTCGACCGAGCACAAGGCTTTGGGGTCACTGGTTAATGCTGCCTATGCTGCCTCGCTCATAGGGAGCTGGCACTGAGTGACAAGAGGGTCCTGATTTCTCTTCCTTCCTCCCCAGTTTTACCACTAGGGAGCAACTGGACACCCAAGTCCTTCCTCCCCACGGAGTAGCCAGGGTGGTCGTGTGTGCCAACCTCCCCACGTTCGCAGACCAGTCACTCCCATGGTCACTGGACCAGTGCGAGCATCACTCCTGCCTTGAGCATCACCTCCTTGCCTGTCCTGATTCAAGCCTCTCGCTGGGAGAAACGGGACCAGAACCACAGCTGCCCATTGTGCAAAGCAAACCAAGTTTTCACAATGACACTGAGCCCTGCGGGTCCAGTGGCTTGAGCCGCACGTCCCAAGGGCCCCACACTGGTAGAGCTGAGACCTGAGGCTGCAGGGAAGTGGTGACCTGGCTCCTTCCCACCCCACTGCCAGCCTTGGTGGGGCTGATGAGGCTGAAGGGCCCCAAGATCTTAGCGGTCTTTCGTTTTATCGATCAAACGAGAGAAGTTTGGGAGCAGTGGTAATTCACACATCCCCCTGTGCTGGGCTGTACCTCCCTGGGGAACTGCCAGGGACTCTCAACTGGCCAGGGGACCCCAAACCTATGTGGATACAGCACCAAGCTGGACCCAAAAACCAGGCAGCTTGAGCTGTGCAGAACCCCATCCTTGGGGAGCCAGATTATCTGGGGATGCTTTTGGTCCAAGCTCCATCCTCAGGCATATGAGTTTCATGAAACAAGACCAGTCCCCAGACACTGCTTGGAACCCCTGAATGCAGCTGCTGCTGCTGAGGAACCCGAAAATGGCTCTGCCAACCCCAGCGTGGCAAATTGGGACTGAGCAGGCCCCGTACCGGTGCTGTCCATGTGGCACTGATGCCCTGGCAGCACGGCAGCTGGCGATGCTTACCTTGCATCTCAGGAGGGATCCCTCCGGGGGATGCAGCCATGGTTGGGACCACGGGGTCAGCCACCTGGAGATGCAGGTGTCAGGGCAGCATCCTTGGGCGCAGCGGGAAAGACACCCCGCTGGGAGGAAGCGCTGAGGTTACCAACCGGCAGCGCCGCAGCCTCGGTGCCTCCTCCCCCTCCCGGTGCCTCTTCCTGCCCCGTCAGGCGAGATTTACCGCCTGAGCAAGAGAAGAGAAATGAAAGCGACGGTGCCCACGGCCCACTGGCCCCGCAGGGAGGAGAGGGCGTCACTACCCAGCACCTTTCTCCTCCCGCGTCTTCCCCTGGGTGTGCAGGACACCCCAAAGCAGCAGCATCTCCCCACTGCTCCAGCCTTCCAGGGTTGAGGGTGCATGGCCTCTCCCCATCCCACAGCCTCCCGAGGTGCTCCACGGGGACATATTTCTGCCTGAAGATGGCCAGTGAGTGGGGAAAGGGCAGTTCTACTCTTCCCAGCTCTAGGAGGTCATCCCAGCCCCATCACCTTGCACTGGGAATCTGCAAAGGGAGTTAATGGTGATGGGTGCTGGTGCCCACTGCAGGGTGCTCTCCAGGGGATGGATGCCAGTGTCCATAGCAGGATACTAAGGTAGGGCTTCTCCAGAGCAGAAATGTTCCAGGAGTCCTACTAAAATGACAAAATTGCTGTGCCAAAGCAAGGATGAGAGACAGAAACCAGGTGACCTCCTTGGAGCAACAGGACTGGGCACATCCACCACTCCACTCTCCCTGCAAGGCTCTGGACCAGGCAAAAAGCCAAAAGCACTCCAGGACAGAGGAGAAAGCTGTCCTGTGCCCCATGCAATGCTGCAGAACTTCCCTGGACCCAGTGTTTCCCACTGTTGGCACAGCTTAGCCCCACCAGAGACTTGGGAGAAGGTGCTGAAGGAGCAGGCAGAGCTGCTTGCAGCCTGCAGCCTGGGTCCCTGTGGCCAGCATCCACTGGGATGAAGTGTGCCAGCTGCCTTCTCCCCAAGACCAGCACCCACTGGGATGAAGCGTGCCAGCTGCTTTCTCCCCCTAAATTCCCCCTTTTTGACAAACCTGCAAGCTCCAAGGCTGCAATCTGCCAATGAGGACCTCCAAGAGGAGTTTTCCCAGAAGTGGAATAACTCAGGAGAAGGTGGTCCTTGGAAGGGCTGGGTGATGTTGCCCTCCTGCTGCATGCCCTTGAGGCCGTAGCACTTCTGGAGCCACCTCCACATGAAGGTGAAGGCAGGAAGACATCTCCCTGCAGGGATGGCATCTTCACAGAGCCCAACCACAACACACAGCAGCTCCTTTCGAGGAGATGACTGGGGAGAATATGACTCAGGGCAAGGACCAACCTCTGCTGAGGCACCTCCTTGAGTCTCCTGAGCTACATCAGCAGACAGATGAGCACCAGGAAGAGGAAGGGCACAGGGGGGTCACCACCCAATGGAGACAGTGGCCACTAACAACAGTCCTGGCTGGATCCATGTTTTTCCAGGATGGGAGGAGGCCAGGCTCCTGGTATCTGAACTCAGAAAGGGCACCATGTCCCAGCTTTTTTCATGCAAGGATCTTCAGGACATGGGGAGAGCAGCTGTCCCACTACACCCATCAGAAGGCAGCTTCTATTGAAGCTTAGAAGCACAAAGGAGCTCCAGGCAAGCCACATCCCAAGATCATTCCCCAGACTGCTGGGTCCCACGTGCTGGAACATTCTGATCATCAGTGAAGCAGGACATGTACCGCAGGAGCAGGGCAGAGGAAGACCTCCATGTGCACAAGCATTCCCTACCTCTGTGCAAACCACCTACTCTATGTGTAACAGAGGACCTGGGCTGGCCATTTTCAGCTCCGCCCCAGAGTACCAGTACCTTCCCAGAAAGAGGTCCAGGTGCTCTTCTCCATCCTTATATCACCACCCCTGGGAAGTCAAAGTACTTACCATGCTCTGGAGGTAATAGTAGGAGCACTTACCCCTGACTGCAGAATACCACTTCATCCTTTCCTCTCCCCACAGCTCCCCTTCCAGCCCAGGTACTTCAATGCTGACATCCCAAGAAACCAGGTGCCCTCCCAGTGACCACGTCCTGTCTCCTATCAGCTATTTTCAGACAGCAGTAAGGTCCCCCCTTGCTTTGTCTCCTCCAGGCTGGTCACACCAGTCTCCTATGGCCTTTCCTCTCCCATCTCATGCTGGAGTGGGATCTGTCCTGGGGCCTCAGCCAGGGTCACACCAGCCTCTCACTGGTTTCTTGCACTGGGGAGACAAGATGGTAGCAGTTGGTCCTACAAATGACCCCTGAAGAACATCAGCAACCAACATCAGTTAGATGTCTTACTGCTGGCTATACTGAATGTGGTGACACAATTTTCCATGCAGCCAGTTATCATCTTCTCCAATCCCCATGCCCTCAATTCTGCCACAAGAAGTCTGCAGGAGACTGTCAAAAGCCTTGCTGAAGTCCAAATGAACATTCACCCCTTGCCCAGCCAGCCACCTCCTGGGAGAATGCAATGAGGCAGTTTCCAGATCTTCCTTCTCACCCTTCTTGTAGACAGGTGGGACATTTGCCTTTCTCCAGGTGTCACAAACCTCCCCTGATCACCAGGACTTTTCAAAGAGAGTGTGATGACACTGACTGGTTTCCTCAGCAATTTCAGGTACTTCCCTCAGACTCTATCATTAGGCTTGGGCCCTGGAAGACCTTCACCAAAGCAGGCAAAATCAAGTCAAGAGCAGGATTAAGTACCTTGGTGTTTTCCATGTCCTTTGCCAGTAAGTCCTCTGCTCCACTAAGGAGCAGAGCTGCATTTTTCCAAAGCTTTCCTGCAGCTGTTGAAGCCCTTATTAATTAGGAAGCTGTTCTTTCTGACCTTCACATGCTACTCCCAAGTCCAGACCCAGCTGAGCTTTGGCTCTCTCAGCTCCACCCCTACGCACTCAAGCAAATGTCTGGTCCTTCAGGGCAGCCTGTTCCCTCTGCCTTCTGCTTCCCAAGTGCTTTTGTTTTCTTTTCCTGCTTGTGCAT